GTTATTTTTTCTATGAGATCTATTTTCTGTTTCCAATCATTAATTTCTTCCAAACTGCTATGAGATCAACTTTAAATGCAATTATCATTCCAATTTCATCATTTACAAATCATGCTTTTTGCTTTCTCACTTACTTGTTTTCCTTTTCACTAAGTTATTGCAAAGACCTATTTACCAAATCTACAACTCATTTTATCAATTCATGCCAACCATGAGTTATTAGTTTCATTAATTTTTATTATTTATTTATTTTTATGAAACTTTAAGTGTTTATCCTCATCTTTTATTAAACATTCTTATTCCCCTCTTTTTTATGTTTCTGTCTGCCTCTTCAGCTTTCAGACAGTTTTTTATTTATCTAAGTGTTTTATTTTACACGGATCCTAATCTTTAATAAATTTCTAGTCGTTTGATTTTAGACTGTCTATTGGATTAGTTTTACTTATCTCTTTCCCCATTTTTTTATTTTTATTTTTTATAAAATTTTCCTTTAGACCAGTTTCAAACTGATCCTTTGGACCTAGTCTGGCGAGGTGCTCTTTTGATAGGTTGCAAAGGCGCAGAGGGTGTTGCTGCTGCTGCTGCTGCTTCCTCTGGCTCTTGCATATCTCCTGCTTGCTCAATTAATCCCTGTAGGGTCCTGGCATAAATTCATCATCTTCCCTTCTATAAAACAACACTTTCTTTTCTTTCTCTTCCTCTCTTTCTTTCTCTGCCTCTTTTTCTTTCTTTTTCTGCTCTTTTGCTCTTTTTCCCCTTCTTCTCTCTTATTTGTCATTTTCATCTACACTCCTGTTTGTTCATAACCTTCTTTATCCATCAAGTTTTCTTTGTCCTTACATTTTTCTCTTATTTTCCTTCTCAATTCTGCAATGTTTGCAGTGCTTAATTTACCATTTAAGCCATATTTGTGTACCCAGTATGCCAGTGGTTCAACTGCTCCTGGTTCTTGTTTCTCAACTACCTTCCAATCTTTACAAGTTAAATCTTCTAGTTTTATTTTACTCTTATTTTTTCCCATTTTTTAACTATGTTTTGGTCCAGTGTGGGGTAACACCTGGTGTGTTCTAACACTGGAATATTTTCAGCAAGATGGTGATAAAACTTCCTGCCTGTGGTAAAGTTCACTTCAACTCTTTCGAGTGGAACTTTCTTGCCTACATGCATCCACAGAGGGTCACCATTTACTTCCTTGCTGTTTTGGTATGAAATCAAGTATCGAGTGATACTTAAATTTCCTTTCACTCTCACATACACACACTGTTTTTTGTCACGGAATTTAAGCGCCTGTTTCGCTGGACTCCGCCGTCCATTTGAAACGGGTATTAGTCGGGCCCCGTTCCCACAACAGGTGGGGTTCGTAAGATCTCAAACCACGTGAGGTTGCAAAATACCGAAGCAGGTGAAGTTTGCCAGTCTTCATCCCAGTAGGGCTTTACAAAACCTCCAGCTAGGTAAGGTTTACAAAGCATTATTTTCTAGTTTTTTTATGATTTATTATTATTTTTTTTCTTCTTTTATTTTTTTTATCACTCTTTTCTTTCTTCACTCTTTTTTCTTCAAGCAGGGGACTCCGTCATCCCACGGACTTTAATTACTTCTATGAGTAAAGGACTCCGCCGTCCTCACGGAATTTAACTGCTTGTTTTAAGTTACCTGATAGTGTCTAGAATTGTCAGGGTTTTATTTCTTCACTTCTTATTCTCTATTTTATTTATTTCTTCACTTCTTATTCTCTATTTTATTGCAATATCAATCATTCACCACTTCTTTTTAAAATAAAATCTACTCACTGATATGTGTCAGTCTTCCCCTGGATGTCCGCCAACCCCTCGGATCCCAGCCTGTGAGAAAGGACCAGTCCCGGAAAGGGTCTTAGTGCTGTGGCCACAGGCTTTTCCTGGATCTCGCTCATCCGCTGGAATCCTTAGGGTTTCGGGACTCCGGCGAAGGACCAATTTAATGTCAGGTCTAAACCCCTAACATTAGTAAAACACTACCTGGAAAGAAAGACAGAACACATCAGTTAAGTTTTACTCGCGAGGAGAGTGCCCCAGAGACGTACATCAGTTACAATCTCCAACTCACTCTGAGTACGTCTTGGCTCTCAACGCCTTTTATTTCCTTAGGTCCCTGGTTACACAAGGACACTGTAGCTCTAAAAAGGCGTTGGGTAAACAATTCATCACACAGCTACAGTGCCAGTTCTCAATTCCCAACTAAGTGTTAGATACAAATACAAATACAAAGACCAGGAGAATACAATGCCCCTGGGATCGATTTGTGTTTCTTTTATCTTTGAAGCGATGATTCTCTCACCTCGGATGGCCAGGCAACATCCAGCCTGATAGGAAGAATGGGTCGTTTGCATACAACCCAAAGTCTCAGGAACTGAACTTTATGACCCCAGAGACAACAAACAAACTGTAACCTCAGGAGATGCAAAGACAGTACTTTGATAATGTATATTGTGATTGCCTCTTCTTCTATGTAACACAATTATCTTGTACGTGATAATCTTGTTCTGGACATCAAACAGAATAAGTAGTTAATCTTCACAGTAACAGTTTTACAGCATTCCAACATACATAGTAAGAAAAACAATACATGGGATAACTTACATACAATTATTCCAACACAACTCATTCATTTATAAATATTTAGTTTCTTCTTTGTCCACAGATCCTCCATTTTCTTCAAGCTTCTGATGCACCGACTGCAGTTTCTGACCAACCGGTGATCAATAAATAGCCGACCTACTGATATTGACTTTGGTCCATGTTGATGTTTTTGTGCCAAAGAGGCTAAATGTAGCGACAAGTCGGCAGCAGAGAAAAAGGAAACTGGCTGATTTTCAGAACTTTGCAGAAGTTGATCAGATCATTTAATCAGCTGATCTCTAATTTCCCAAAGTTAAGAAAAATCAGGCCGATTAATCTGTGCTTTATTAATGTATTCATATTCTGTTATTTTCAGAGGAAAAACCACTGATGGGAATCTGACATCATGGCTGAGGTGCTTCCTTGTCCTTCATGTGTGGGAAAAGCGAAGCATGTGGTTCATACATCCGGTTCTGGTGTGAAACGGGTCGCGGATCCTCTTATTGGAGGTGTAAAATAATATTCATATATATTTGGAAATACAGGCCTGTGCTTTTCTGTTATGTGACATGAAGTGCCAGTTTAAATGGACTGCTGCCTAATTTTTATCTGGAACAAAACTCTCCAAATATAATTTTTTATAGAAATGACCTTTGTTGTCCCAAAGGAGGGAAGAGTCCAACAGTGACAGGCGATCAAGGCAAGTAGATTCACACGAAGATAAAAATATTAAATACATAAATAAGAATAAAGAATACCATATTGTACTGTAAACACATTTGAACATAGTGTGTAGGTTTTAAGGATGGCACATTCTGATCCAAAGGAATAAGTGGACAGGTTTCTTTAGTGTTTTATTTGTGCTATAAAACACTATTTACAGTCAGTGACACTGATTTTGTTGGAAGCAGTGACTGAGTTTAGCGTCTGGGAAGACAGATCTATGTTTGTGCTAATTTGTGCAGCCGTTTGAATCTGAGGAAAATTTCTATCTGCTGATTTTTTTCTCACAGAGCATATCTAAAATCTTCAAAATAAAACGCAGCTCGGCATGTCTTGGCTTTATGCTACTTTATTAGCAGATGTTTGCAAAGCAGCCAATTCAGGAGCGCCATTCATTTTTCTTAGATTGGCTGAGCTGCGACTGCCAGGAACTGAGACAATAAATATTAGCTGCTAAGGTAGAGCTAAGACGCTTTCTGCTGTGTGTGACGTATATTAGGGCGTATTTAGTGTTAAAACTATTAAATATAAGCATTTAGTTTTGTTAAGCATGTGGGATTTGATCTTTTTACAACTTGATCTTTTGAAAACATGTTTTCTCTCCAGTTAGTTTTGCTTTTGTGCTGCATTATTGAAGATCACAAAAAAAAGCTGAGCTTTAAAATCAATTGAAAGATTGATCAGTAGAGGAAACGTTATCGTCCCCTGGTTTGGTTTGAAATCAGGTGAACAGAGGGCAAGAAGGTCAATGAACATTTCCTTCAATCTGAAGGGGATTTTTCAATATGCTGAAAAAACTTGATGCTTTTGCTGAACAGTTTCTTTAACTGGTGATCTTGTAATCTGTGGTTGTTTATACGTGTTGGGAAAGGCTCTGAAAATGTTGTGGAAACCTGAGTCATGATAATCAATGTGGAGCTGAAAGGACTTCTTGTCAAGGCTGAAGAAGTTAGATATGTTTATAAAAGTTAAACATTTTCATTCACCTTCTGCAAAATATTTGCACAAAGACTGTCTGACACTACTAGCAAGGACTATTTGTTCAGGTTAAAAATACAAGTCGCTGTTTTTTACAAGTGAAAAATGGAACAAATTTCCTTTAGTTGGTTCTATAACAGATTATTTTATTTTGAAGAGTGGAGTTGCAGCTCCACATAAATTCAGTTTAAAGGACTGAAAGTTGCAAAGGTCGCTGATCCCCTGACTTTCAGTAACATTTCTTTGCAGATTTCAACAAATTGTGGAGTTTTCAAGCCTTGTTGGTCAGAAACAATTTTAATAAATTCTACCATGTGGATCCAACTCTTGTTTTTCTAAATCCTTGCAGTTATGTGTTGTATGATCATCTCTCCCTGTAGAATCTCATATTTTATGGTTTCTGTATAAAAAAGTCCCTGAAATTAGACAACAGATGAAACCAGTTTAATTGGATCTTCAGGTCTGTTAATCGCCTTTTGTTTCAGTTTTTGATCCATAAACATCCAACTTGACACAGTTTGACATAAACAGCCTGTTTTCTCTGCCTGGTTATCGCTACACCTTCTGTGGCATGTTGGGAAATGTAGTTTGTCCTTTCGGAAGATCAAAATCTCAAACTAGCAAATATATCGACTGTAATCATTTAGTCATTTTTAAATAAAGTAATAAAACTGTATTAAGTCTTCTATCAGTATTTCAAGTTAATTTTATTATGTGACCAGAAAGTAGAGATTTTTTTTATGTAAACAGTAACTACATCTCCCATGATTCAGTGCGGTCGCGCCGCTGGTGCGGACGTGTTTGACAGTTATTGAAAAATGGGGTTTGGAAGTGAAACGAAGTGACGGTTAAATTCAGATTTTCTGCCTAAAGGTTACAGATTTAGAAATTATTATGAAGTTGGTAATTTTTTGCGAACATTTAAACATTGATGTGTTTTTAAAATAACAAAGCGACTAAACGAACAACAGGACGTGGAATACATAGATTATTATAGATGTTTATTCATTGTAAGTCAATATTCCGTTTAAATATTTAATGCTTCGACTGAAACTTGTTTACTTTTAATTTTGTAAAATAATTTTAAACAGTTCGGCGCCGAGCAAAGATCTTTCAGTTCGAAGCGGTTGGACAGCGGAGTGGAGCGTCTTGTCAATAAACTATCTTTGAAGCTAGCTGAGGAGCTACGGCTAACCGCAGGCAGCGGACCCGGGCAGCTGAGCTCCTGATCCGGGATGATGCCAGGCGACAGCACCATGACTTCCATCGTCCAGAGAATAGCCCGCCAGCTCTGCTCACCTTCAGGAACCCGCCGGGACTCGGGGAGGAGAGCGGAAAGACCTTCGTGGAGAACCACGGTAAGCTGAAGAGCCTGATGACGGAAGTCCGAGCGGCGGACCTGAAGCTCGTCCCGCGGAGAGCCGAGGACAGCGCGCCGCGGCCGAACCCGTACCACCACGGAGTGCCGCCGGTCACCTACATGCACATCTGCGAGACGGACCAGTTCAGCATGGGGGTATTCCTGCTGAAGAGCGGCGCCTCCATCCCGCTGCACGACCACCCGGGCATGCACGGCGTGCTCAAAGTCCTCTACGGGAAGGTCAGGATCAGCTGCTTCGACCGGCTGGAGCGGCACGGCGGCGGGACGGCGCCGCCGCCGCTGTCCCCGGCGCAGATGGGCGCTCTGCGGCGCTCCGTGCTGCGCTCCTCCGCCGAATACACCGAGGAGAGCGGGCCCTGCGTCCTCTCCCCGGACCGGGACAACCTTCACCAGATCGACGCGGTGGACGGGCCGACGGCGTTCATGGATATTCTGGCCCCGCCGTACGACCCGGACGACGGCAGGGACTGCCACTACTACCAGGTTCTGACCAGTTCGGAACCGAACTCCGCGGACGGCAAAGAGAAGGAAGTGTGGCTCATGGAGGTCTCCCAGCCGCCCCACTTCTGGTGCGGAGGGGAGCCGTACCCCGGCCCGGAGGTCCACCTGTGATCCGCCCGGACCGGACCGGGTCAAATGGACCTGCGCCCGGTCCGAACCGGGCCACACTCGTTCCACTTCAGAATAAAGCTCCCCTTACAGACAATGGCTGATAAATACTTTAGAGATTCATTCCGATTTTTAGGATTCGATTCTAAGCGACTTTCAAATGAATCGATCCGTTTGAGTCGATAACTGATTGAAACAAATACGATTAAAGATCACATACCAAATCCACCTGTTTATATTTAAACATAAAGATTTTTGTGCATAAAATTCTTTTGTCACAAGTCAAAACAAAAATATAAATTATTCATAATATAATTTAAAATAAATGGACTGAAAATGATTCCTGAGCTTTTGGATCGATTCATCATTGCGATTCTCTACAGAATCATTTTTTTCTGCACCTCTAATAGAAACTTTATAAACACTAAAAGAGTCATTAATAACTGTTTATTGTTGAGGGTGAATTTGAGACTGCATGCTAAATAAAACATCTATAAATGCTTATTGTGCAAAGGATTTATGTCTGAAATGTTTAGTATAATAACTAGATTAGATATATTAAGGGCACTTTTTCTCCTTATTGCCTGTAATTAATGGTTTATAGATAGTAATTAACATATCTATGAAATATTTCTCAGCCATCTGTAAACAGGAGCCTCGTTGTAAAGTGGTTCTATTGTTCAAATGAAACTGACTCAGAATGTGATTTTCCTGCAGGCCGTCAGTCATTAATCTGCTGCTCCAGAGCTGGACTTTATGACACGCTTTATTTTTAGTAATAATTAAACAACACACCAGAGGAGACATTTGCTGCTCTGTAATTGAACATTTTCAGACCAGGAGAGATGAATTAACATCAGTTTTCCTTCTGGCATCACGAACATCCTGCTCTCTGCAGTTTGCGCTCTGATTTATCCGTCTGTCTGATTGGTTTCTGTTCATTCTGGGGTTTGCATGAAGGATGCAGCTTTGCATCAAGTAATCTGTAGCCGCCGACTCGTCTTCCTGCGTTCAGCCGCAGAAAGAAAGTCCAGATTTCTCCCGTCGTCTGGACTCTGCGGTTTTTCTCTCTGAGATTCTCAGGGAACCTGGATGTGATGTTTGCTGCATTAAATCAAACCTTTGAGATTCTGCTGGGGTCGTTTTGTGGATCTGCAGGTTAAATAAAAGTAATCTACATGGTTCGGTCTCATGGTTTTAAGCTGTGCAGAACAAATAAAAAGTCCAGTTTTCAAAGTTCACTAAATGATGTGAGAGGTCGCTGCTGCCACCGTGTGGCGGAGGAGGGAACAGGAAGCAGATGAATGAGTTGATAACTGACAGACTTATGTTGTTTGATCAATATTTGATGAACAGATTGAAGAGATTTTTCTGCAGCTGTTCCCCATTTAGGGAAGTGGATCAAAACTTTGATTATAAATCACCGAGACATTTGAAATCTGCCCTCATAAAAATCCCGTCAGGGCTTTAAGCAGCTAAAATTCATCATAAAATAAGTTTTTGCCCGATTTAGATCCTAAAAACTCAAATAAAAGCAGAACAGGAAAATCTAACATTGACATGTAGAAACAGCCTCAGCTTTTCTTCTGCTCTCCATCAGTTCGGTGTGAAGCTGATCTGATGATTCATTTTGAATAAAGTTACCAAAATTTGCTCAGTTTTTTTTCACAGAATTTGAACCGGCTGAAGCTGCTCTTTATTCTCAGTGAAAAATATTTTTAATACAGTTAAAAATATTTTCCTCTGAGTGTTGTTCCGTCAGAAAATGGGTTTTTTAGTGATTTGATTTATGATTTCAGTTCAAGTCTTAATCTAAACTGAAAACCTGCAGGGTGTTCTTGTCCAGGCTGTAAACGGGTCTCTTACAGGATAACTAACATTAGAACTAATATTAGTTCTACTAATAGAACTAATATTAGTTCTACTAATAGAACTCTGGAGATCTTCAGGTTCAGGCTGTTGATTCAGTGGACCAGGCAGACATCTGAAACGTCCCTCAGGACTGTGAACCTCTGCCTGTTTGTCACCAGATATGGTGCAACATTAAGTTGTTGGGTTTTCCTCCATTCACTCTGTGAGTCTCTCCTGTACCGAACCGCACCAGCCGGTGCCACACCGCTGAGCGGAAGCAAGGCCGTAACTGTTCACTGTGTTCAAACTGCAGGAACATGCAGGGCTGAGTGTGACTTTCTGAGCTGATAGTGAAGCTCAGACATTCAGATGCCTGCAAGCTTCCTGTAGTTCATGATCAGCGTTCAGTGAGGAAGCGGCAGACTGCCTCCACCATGACGCCTTCTCTACTCATCTGGTAAGTCGTCTACAGACTGTTCACTGACTGGGACTTTCACACTATGATACCTGCAAATACCTCATCTGTCCAGGAAGATCTACACAAGCAGAGATTCAGGAAGAAACAGCAACCAGTAGGTTCCACTTGGGGACTAGAGGATTGGGAGGACTAGAGGACTGGGGGTCTGGAGGACTGGAGGACTAGAGGACTGGAGGACTGGGGACTGGAGCATTGGGGGACTGGAGGACTGGGGGGGACTGGAGGACTGGGGGACTGGAGCATTGGGGGACTAGAGGACTGGAGGACTAGAGGACTGGGGGACTGGAGGACTGGGGGACTGGAGGACTGGGGGACTGGGGGACTGGAGGACTGGGGTCTGGAGGACTGGGGGACTGGAGGACTAGAGGACTGGAGGACTGGGGGACTGGAGGACTAGAGGACGGGGGACTGGAGGACTAGAGGACTGGGGGACTGGAGCATTGGGGGACTGGAGGACTGGGGGACTGGAGGACTGGGGGACTGGAGGACTGGGGGACCGGAGGACTGGGGGACTGGAGGACTGGGGGACTGGAGGACTAGAGGACTGGGGGACTGGAGGACTGGGGGACTGGAGCATTGGAGGACTGGGGGACTGGAGGACTGGGGGACTAGAGGACTGGAGGACTGGGGGACTGGAGGACCGGAGGACTAGAGGACTGGGGGACTGGAGCTCAACACCTGAGCGGTGGAGGTCAGTAGTTAGAAACATGAGTTATTTTACCCTGCAGGTATCCTGGTATCTAGAATCACAATGTGAATAAACCCCTTTACGTTCAGACCACCAGAAGGTACTGAACCCATGTCTCTGATAGGAACCATCTGGGCGTTTGCTCAGAGCAGCATTAAAAACGGGGGCGAACTGGAAAAAGAGATAAAACATGGAACATTTTCCTTTTTCTTTTGTTCATGTTCTGCAGCAGGAACTGCATCCTGGTGCTGAGCAGATCCACCTCAGACTGTTCAGACTCTCATCATTCTCTGCATTTCACTGCTGATGTGTTTCCTGTACCTGGACAGTACAGGAAACACTTCAGTACCTGTCTGAACATGCACTGTAGATACCCCAGATGTCCTCTACGGTGTAAACTTTCTCTAAAATTACTCATCAGTGATCTGTAAGCCCAGTTTCCATCTGTTACCCTGAAGGCCCCATGCTGAGTGATGGACCGGGTCCAGTTGTCTCTGGTTTCCCCCCAGTGCAACCAGAACCAAATCGGTTTTGGTTCAGAAACAACAAATCACCAGAACCTCCTGAACAAAAAACCAACATTTATTTGCATCATCAACAAGAAGCTGCTTTAGTGCTCGTCACGTTTGCATAAGAACTCTGTTTGGACTCTGACTTCTACATTCATCAGGTAAAACGTGGAGTCGGATCATCCTTCCAGTTCCCTTCCTGAGCAAAGAACTGAAACATTCAGCATCCAGAGGCTGAACCACCTGAGCTGCTGGAGGATGATGTGTCCAGTCTGGGCTGTTTGGATCCCTGAGCATCAGAACCCAGACAGGAAGGTCCTGGACCAGAACCCGAGTCTCTTCTAGCTGCTCAATCTATTCTGTCATAAACTAAACTTTCTGCTCACTTTGCAGATCAAGTTCATAAATAACGAGATGATTTTAGCAAAAAACGACATTTTCTGTGAGATCATTAGGAGGCGGAGGATCTTTTCTCCTTCTGCCGCAGGTGGATCTTCATGTGCCGCCGCCGCTCATCGCTGCGTGCAAAACTTCCTCCCGCACTGTTCGCAGGAGAACGGTTTCTCCCCGGTGTGCGTGCGGATGTGCGTGGTGAGGTGGTCGCTGCGGCTGAAGTTGCGCATGCAGATGCGGCACTGGAAGGGCTTGTGGCCGGTGTGGATGCGCAGGTGTCGGCTCAGCTCGTCGGACCGGGAGAAGCGCCGGTCGCAGCTCTCGCGGGGCACGGGTACGGCCGCTGGTGGACCGGCGTCTTGCTCGGCCGGTTCGGGTACTTCCGGGGTCTCAGGATGGGCCTGAGCGGGAGGTTCTGGTGGGTGGAGAACGCTGCGGACATCGGGCCCTCCACGGCCGCGGGTGGCGCGGCCAGCGTAAAGTTCCTGATGGTGTTGAGCGGCGTGAGCGGCGGCGGCACCCTGAGCGGGTCCAGCGGGTACGGGAGAGACTTCCGGTCCGGGAAGGCCGACTGGAGGTCCCGCTGGCAGCTCTGCTGGTAGAAGCCGCCGTACTCGGGCATGATGGACAGCAGCGCGGGGCCGTCCGCGCCGGGTTTGGGTGCGGAACTGTAGTGCTGTGGGGGGTGGTAGGACCCGGAGCAGGTGGGCGGCGCCAGGTATCCCGAGGCGGACTGGTCCTGGTACATCTCCCCGCTGCAGGAGTAGGACGGGGCGGGGTGGGGGTGCGCGTACATGTGGCTGATGTCCGGGGCCGTGCGCCATGCCGCCTCCTCCTCCAGGTGCGTAAATATCCGGCGCGGACCCGGGCTCCGGCGCGGCTGCGGAGATGTCAGCGCTGACCACGTTGACGGGGTCTCCCGGTGCCCACGGCGCTCCTGCCCCCCTGGAGTCCACGGAGAACCGCCCGGTGAACGTGCGTAAAGTGGCCGCGTACTGCGCCAGATCTCCGTGGGTCTGCAGCTCAGGTGAGCTCCTCCCCTGGAACAGCAGCTCACCTGGAAAACACAGAAAAGAGGCGTTAAGCTCAGCAGCTGAGGCGCTCTGCCGCAGCCAGGTGCGTCAGCTCACCGCCTCCATCCTCCTCTCCCACCGGCTCCTCCTTGAATACGGTCAGCCGCCCCTCCGCCGTGTCCGCCACCGCTCAGAGACGCAGAAACTCCCTCCAGCAGAACCTTCGCGCTCATGCCGAGGATCTTCAGCCTGGTTCCTAACACCGTGTCCCGCGGCGCCGCTAGCGGCTCTCGGCGGTTCCCCTCATGCTGCCGCTAACCCCGCTCCTCTCTCCGCCTCTGCTCGTTTTAACGGCTCCCACGCGGCTCACGACGCTTATAAAGGGGCTCTCTGGGTGTCCCTTGACGTCACTGACCAAATATGGACTTGGCCTTAAAAAAATGAGGGAACTCCAGAAATAGTGCAGCGGAGCCGCGATGAGGCGATTATTACAAATCAAAAGATCAAAGCGTGGAGATCAAAATGAGACTTTCAGTCACGAATTTATTATTTATTCCCAAACATCATCACGCATCATGTTCACCATTTCCTTCAGGGGAAAATGAGATGCGGGATTCGGAATTCCGGCCGCGGTGTCTCCATAAAAGGTCCTCCGGTGAGGCGGCGGGAGCTCCGGCTGCTTATATGGCCGCTATCCGGCGGAGCGGAGCCAGCGGAGCGGGGCCAGCGGGGCCCACACACCGGCGGCAGGGAGCGGCTGGAGGCCGGCTGAAGCCCGAGACATCCATCCATCTGATCATCCATCTGATCATCCATCCAACTGATTATCCATCCAACCATCATGCCAAAAGTCCACAATTAAGGTGGCCTAGTCAAAGTCTAATCTAACAGGTTTTCATCCTGAATCTGATTCCGATGAGTTTCTATCGCTGTGATAAAAACTCATCTGAATCCAGAAATGTTTTAGAAACTGAACTGGTTGGTTTTTATATTTTATATTAATAAATTAAATCATGATTTGAAGCTGCAGTTTGATTTTGCTCCGGTTCTCTTTGATGTTTGTTGCATTTCATGTCTGAAGGTTTTCCCAGAATGTTTCCCCTAGTGGCTGCTGGAGGAACTGCCCACTCTTCCTCTGCTGTTTTCTCCTACTGCTCTCCTCCTGAATCATCTGCAGCTACAACTTCTCTCTTCTCTCCGGTTCTGGTGCTGGTTCTGGTTCTGTTGCAGGTTTCTTCCTGTTACAATG